GTTCGGGCAGGTCTTTTTTTGACACCCCTAATCGTAAATAATAAATCCTCCGAGGGTTAGGTATACCTTTCCTTAGTATTAAAAATAAATTCCACATCCTATAATAATAGGTTTGAGCCCACACTCTTAGTCCATCTTTTCTTAGTGATAACCTAGGAGAGAAATTTTGACCTCATTCGAAATGAGGTCAACAAATGGACCACAATGGGTGTGATTAGCTCCCCTAAGCTTGTCGCTGCACGTATTGGTTTTGGTCAAGATAATCAACAAGATCCAAAGGAAGCTTAAATTTAAGATAAATTTTAAATTTGAAGAATTAGAATTGATTTTGATTGGATTTGATTTATAAGTATACTATTTGTTTTCAATTTAGTTTTAGAATCATTTGATTTTGTAATTGAAGTTGATTTGGATTTGATTTAATTAGTATTGGGTTGAATTAAATTTTGATCAATGATTGGAAGAATGAAATAAATAAAGTGCTTAGTCTTAAAGTAAAGGCAACCTAAGAGTGTGGGCTCACACCTATCCTTAAAGGCTATGAAATTTATTTTAGTCCTTAAGAAATGATGCTACTTGGGAAACTTATACCTAACCTTTGAAGGATTTTAGATTTACGATTTAATATGAAAAGGATGTCGTAAAAGGAAATATGTCTAATCTCTGATGATTTTAATAAAGAAAGGAAGTCATAGGACTCAAACCTAACTTTGGAAGCTCTAATTAAGAAAAGATGTCGTAGGAGGCCTCACACCTAAACTTAGAAGATTTAATGAAGAATGGATGTCATAGGAAGACTCACACTAAACTTCAAAAGATATAATTAAGAAAGGATGTTGTAAAAGCACTTCTACCTAACTTCGGAATATTTAATGAAGAAATGATGTTATAGGAGGACTTATACTGAGCTTCGAAATATTTAATGAAGAAAGGATGTTGTATGATGACTCACACCTAACTTTGGAAAATTTAATGAAGAAAGGATGTCATAATAGGGATGTAGCTAACAAAATAGGCCATGTGATTAGTATAATCATTTTTGCTTTTGTAAAATTTGAGACAAGAAGATTTTGAACTTTATTGTAGGCCTTTCCTCTAAGATTTACCTTGAGCATTTGTTCATCAGTTCACACTTCCTATTCTTAGATTGCATGGGAGTGGACTCTTCATTGTTGTCTAGGTGGTACGTCTCATCAAATGTCAGGATTGAGGTCATTATTTATTTGTCACAAAGTCTTACTTCTTCATGTTGACTAATGTTTCTCTGCGTTCTGCTTCTTATAATTCTTGATTTCTGATTCTTGGCATCAATCTACACAACTGCACTAATCAAGATGTTAGATTAAAAATACTAAGGTAAGCAATACCAATAACCTACTAGCAAAACTCACTATGCACCCAGAATAAAAAGCATAAGAAAAAAGAAAAGATATCGGAAAAGATCAGAGAGAGGCTATGGAATTTCTCTATAATAGCACAACGTACATGCTTGAGTATAAATAATTAGTGTCCAAAATACCCCTTTGCCCCCCTATCTATAATATCGGTCTAAGTGTTTTTGCGCAATTAAAAAGGTCATATAAAAAAAAGAAAATATATCCAAAAATATGAATCATATAGCTCAAAAAATATGTAATAAAAAAATTTATAAAAATACATGTGGAATGTGGATAATTTGACATGTGGTCAGTTGCCGACTGATGTCATCACCTTGACAAGTGAAGTTACTGACTGGTTATGCGGAGTTATCGACTTGTCGACTTGCGAGCCAAAATCCCAACGTGGGGAAAATTTTCCAATTGACACAATTAGGTTGCCAACTTGATGCGCAAAGTCGCTAATAGCCTAAGTGTAATACAAGCAAGTAGCTTCTGCATAACACGAGTTGGCCTAGTGAAACCTTGTGCAAGATATGCTTTGGCTAGATCACTATGAGCTTGGTGAGCTCACTATGAGGCTAACAAACTCACTATCTTCATTCACCCCATTCCATTGGGTTGCTTTGGGCCGGGGCAGGACCTGATTCTAAGCCAAACTCCTGAGCTATTTAGATGTAAAACCATCATTTTATTAATGTTTTTTGTGTGAAGTGTGTTTTGTTAAAAATGCTGTATTAAGTGACTTTGATGGTCACTATTATGCTTCTGTTGCTTTTGAGTGATGCTGAGTTCGTTGATTATAGATCAACTCATCATTTAAATACTGCCAGAATTTTCTGTTCATCATACACCTAAGTGTCTCAACTCTTCTGCATTAACCATTATTGTTCAGAACAACTATATTTCCATAGACAATTTCAACTTTGCAATTGATAACAACACTTCTATTTTAGACAAAAGGCATCTATTCGCAGTGTTCTGTGAAAATTGAACCTTGAGGAGGTTATATTTCTATCCATCCCATTTAAGTGGATTATATTCATTAAAATTTAATTGTATTATTTGTGTTATATTATTTGGATTCAACATCATAGTTATCCCATATCTTAGGTATTATGGGCTCGATAGTCTCACAGGATGTTATAAGATAAATGAGTAGCGCAATTAAATGGGAAGGAGCTTGCATGAAATTCCAAAATGATAATCTTGGAGTAAATGAGGTAATATTTAGATTTTATGAGATGCAAACTTTCGTATGTTTTTTGTCTTTGCAATTATGTGTGGGTCCTATAGTCTCTATTATGCAAAATTAATTATACATGAATATGTAGTTATTAGACTCTGTGTTGAGCAAAACTAATTATATGTGAATTTGGGCTTGCTTGAAAGAGTACTTCAACGCTATTAGGCCTTGAAGTAATAGCCTCATGTTTTTTTCTGGCAATTTAGGAGAAACATTATTTTTTGTGTTAAACAAAATATTAAAAATGTTTCAGCATTTTGTTTTGTTGTATATTTAAACATTGCGGAAATAGTAAAATAGCTAGCCCTAATAATATCATCAATCCACACTTTAGAACCTTGCTCTACCTCAAGCATGGATTTTCGAAACTTTTTCAAGGTAACAAATGGCAACTAAAGTCACACACATATTCATTATATAAATCCTTAGGCATCTTAGATGGCAACTCAAGTCCATTTTTATGTTTTTCATCTATGAGCGGAGACCCCTTATATGCTTACAGAGTTCAAATACAAAATTCATTACAAGTTCTAACTTTACTGCATAATTAATACTTATTATTATCTACATGGACAAAAAATTAACATTATCTTAAAATAATCGAGACATAATTCTTATGTCTCCCAATCTAAAACATGGTTGTTAAAATTTTGCTCTTCATTATCATCATACTAGGGAGTGGAGCATACACCCAATGATTCCAAAAATAGCAATGGATTGGCTACCATCAAGCTAACATAACACATCACTCTTAATATCATGCTTCCTCAAAAATATCAGCTGCAATTCAAATATTTTTATATATTCTGGGACATCAAAAATACTTAAACAAGGTGTGATCACCCCGGCTATGATTATCACTTATAAAATGATGCTCACATAACATGAGTATATTTTATACTTTCTTTTCGTAACCTCTCATATAATTTAGCTTTGATTTGATTGCTTTCTCAAATGTACTTTGTGAAACCAAATCAATCATGACCTTAGGATAACAAGTTAAAGTAGAAACATTATTTAAACATTTCATAGCATGGCTCTAATTTCTAAGGCAAATAGGAACCATCATCGGTTCATCAAGGTTCACACAATCATGAAACATGAATTCATTAGTCCAATTTCCTAACTTTGGTCAACAATGGCACATGTAGTATGAATTATGTGCTATGGTGGAGTAACACGTAGGCACATTCTTACAACAATGCCGTATTGAATCCTTGTCCATACACCACATAATGAAAATCCCAAACTTAGTCACTCCTATGGACGCCTAGCAAGAGTTCACATTCAAATGTAACATGTTTCATGAACAATGGATAAAGCTCATATTAGCTTAGCTACTTAAAGCCTCATCTTCATTAGTGTGGCACATCTTGTCTCATCTTGCTTCTTGCTAAAGCAATTAGGAGATTGCACATGTCAAAGGGCAGTCTAAAAACCTCCGAGACTTTAAACAATATGCAAAAAAAGTTTTAAAAAAAAAACTAATTTCATCATATGCAAACCAAGACTCCACACATGACCTTGAAACAAATCCCTAGCTATTAGTTTAGTAAATCAATCAACATTCTACAGGCACAAAAACTCATCTAAATCCCTGCTATTTAAACACAAATGTATTACTATCTCAAATTTTTGTGCTTAGTTCAATCTTGGAATTTATACAATAGGTGTAGTGTAGTGTTCATGATTTGCACTCCTAAGTCCTCGAGCTCCGTCATGTCATCGCATTTCCTCTCTCAAAGATATCTCCACTTTCATGCAACATGAAAGAAAATATGAGAAAATCACTCTATCTCCTAGGCATTTTCGGGTGTGTGGCAGCTGAGACCTAAACTATAGAGTATAGACACCTAGCTTCTACGTGACTTTGATTCAATTTTTTTTTATTCAAGAGCTCCTAGTGGTTTGATTTTTTGAACCCCTGAGCTTCCAATGTTCCTAAATCCTTCCAAAACTCCAGCATTCTCCTTGTCACCAGTTCTGCCTGTGTAAGCTCACCTTTCCTGATCGTCTATCTGATGCTCGGTCCTCTTTCCCTCAGCTCCAAGTCTACACATTTAAAGCTTTGTTGCAACCCTGATTCTAATCACCCACATGCACCGGCTGATAGATAAATAAATAAAATTGATTGATAGTGACAAAAAATAAAAGATGTTTATATAATAATTGTAAGATAAGCAGTCAAATATGCAAGCATAAGAAAGAACTTACAAGGAAATTTTGACATACAATCTGCGGTTAAAAAATACCTCATTGCAATACTGAAGACGCTAGTACATAATAAAGCAACATCAGGAGCTCCGGACTTTTTTTTTTAATTGAAAAAAAAAGTATAATGTTGAAAAAGGAAATAATAGTAGATGAGGAATGCAAACCTAGTTGAATAAGAAATATTGATATGCAGGAAGAAGTTGAAGCCAGGTCCAGTCCAGGATATTCAAAGAAGAAATTAGCAGGATACTCGCAAGGTAAGCAGTGAAGTGCGTGATCAGCAAGAACAATATCCCTAGAGCACAGCACTTGCTCAACAAAATTTTATCATCGTTAGAAAAAAAGAAACAGAGATGGATTAAAGGCGATGAAAAAAGACAAACTTTGGCAAAGGCCTTCAAGGACAGAAGCCGCGGATGAGCATGAAGAAGTCGAATGTGATGGCGTCTAACGAAAAGAGCGCCTGCTGTCGAGCATCTTTTGGTCGCGGATGATGCTTCACTCTAGTTGCTACGAGGCCTTGGAGCAGGGTAATTCCGAAGCGCTTCTTGAAGGGCATCGCCATTCTCCTCGACCGACTGAAGACCCTAGCTTGGTTGAGATTGTTTCGTGTGGTCATATTATTCACGATATTTCGTGTATCAACTGCCTGATTTGTAATTGTTGCGGGGTAGAGTATACGCCACTATAAGGGCTGTTTGGTATGCGGATTTAGGCCGGATTTGGGCGAAATCCAGCCAAACGGCCTAAAATGCAAATGAAAGCCACGGTTGACGGAAAATCCCCTCTTTTCGTGGTAAATTCCGGATTTACGAAATCCTTTGGTTCAGCGGATTTACGGGATTTGGCCGAAGAAGCGCGCGAAAGGGAGAAAGTTACCTTCACAGCAAGCGAGCTCCCGTAGTTGCTTCAGATCAAAAAAATTTCGTAACTTCCGATCCAACGGGAAGGTAATGTCGTCGAAGGAACGGCCAACTCGTGAAAATTTCTACATTCGTGCGAAGGAACAAAGCCGAACGAAATACAGGAGGGAAAAGTAGGGCTGCCAACGAACCGAGCCGAGCCTAGCCTAGTATGTCAGTGTTCATGTTTGTGTTCATTTAATATTAGCTTGTTCAAATTTGGTTCATATTTGTTCGAGTTTTATTGTTTGTGTTCATGTTTGGTTCATTTAAATTAATGAGTGTTCATGTTCGATTCATGTTCAATTCATGTTCGTTCATTTAGTGTTTATCGAGCTTTAAACAAACAAACATGAACGAGCTATAAACGAGCTCAACTTTTAGATATTCATTAACTTAACAAACGAGCTTTATCGAGCTTCCTAACAAACGATTAAATCGAGCATGTTCGTGAACATATGTAACAAATTTTTTTTAACTATCGAACAAACACGTTCATGAACATATCTATGAACAAACATATTTTATAATAAAATCAATTGTCTATGTAGCAAAGGCAATAATTTATATTTATAAATTCTATAATAATATATTAATTACTTTTATTGAGCTTATTCACTAGTTCAAAATCAAACACGAATCAAGCTTAACGTCGAGCTTGTTCACGAACTTCAAATTGATCAGCAAGAACAATAGCCCTAGAGCACAGCACTTGCTCAACAAAATTTTATCATCTTTAGAAAAAAAAGAAACAGAGATGGATTAAAGGCAATGAAAAAAGACAAACTTTGGCAAAGGCCTTCAAGGACAGAAGCCGCGGATGAGCATGAAGGAGTCGACTGTGATTGCGTCTAAGGAAAAGAGCGCCTGCTGACGAGCATCTTTTGGTCGCGGATGATGCTTCACTCTAGTTGCTACGAGGCCTTGGAGCAGGGCAATTCAGAAGCGCTTCTTGAAGGGCATCGCCATTCTCCTCGACCGACTGAAGACCCTAGGTTTGTTGAGATTGTTTCGTGTGGTCATATGGCAAATTATTGCGTCCGATCAACTGACATGCTTACATCCAATTCAGACGCGTCATCTCACCAAGATGCACTGGCCCGATATTTTTGAGTGACGTAGCTCATTTTTATTGGTGTCCGGACGAATCTGGACACCGAACACAATAATTTGTCGTGGTCATATTATTCACGATATTTCGTGTATCAACTGCCTGATTTGTAATTGTTGCGGGGTAGAGTATACGACACGATAGAGTTAAAATCTTAGGTCTTAATCTTGTACGGATATTCAGTTCATACATATAGAATACAAGTTTTTTTACGTGGAAAATTCTGAAAAAATTATGAGGTATGACCTAGTTGAAAATTAATCTACTAGAATTTGAGTAGATTGCAGTGGGCTGACTAGTCTTTGAGGGCGATCAGATTACAAATGCCTACCGCATGGTTGAAACCTAATGACAAACGGGGATGAAAGTCCAGCATCACTTGGTGGACTGGCAGAAGTCTGGTGCTACGTAAAAATTCAGGCGTCAGTTGGTAGCATGGCGGTGGTCCGACAGAACTCCGGATGTCAAGTGCTGGTATGGTAGAATTTCGGGCGTCAGGTGGTGGTCCAAAATAACTTCAAGCCTCAGAAGGTGGTCCGGCAGAACTTCAGGCTTCAAGTGGTGGTCCGGCAGAAGTCGGAGCCTCAGGCGGTGGTCCGGCGGAAGTTCAGGCCTCAGGCAGAGGTCCGGGCGAAGTCCAGGTCAGGTAGTGGTCCGGCCGAAGTCCGGGCCTTAGGCGGTGGTCCGGCAGAAGTCTGGACCTCAGGTGGTGGTCCGGTAGAATTCTATGCCTTAGGTGTTGATCTGGCAAAACTCCGAGCATCAAGTGGTGGTCCAGCGGAACTCCAAACAGTGGTCGAGAAGACAAGGAGGCAAGAGCGATCTCCGATCTCTCTCTTTTATCCTTTGGCTTAAAGTTCCATTTTCCGCAGGGGGGGTCTATTTATAAATTTCCTAGGGTGGCATGGCCCGTAAATAGGAGAAAGATCAAAGGTAAGTGGGGAGTAGTTTGAAATGGACGGCCGATATTGAATCCCTTGATCTTGGACCGTTTGCTAGACATTTGAAGGTCTTAATGATGTCGGAATTACGTGATCTTGGGAACATTGGATTCGTCTCGTCAAGCCGCTCAATTCGACTATAAGCATGTCACTTTTGGAAACCGATTGGTAATCCAAATTGTGGTTCGAACCTTCCAATAGTGCTTCAGGTCCGTGATTTGGACCCATTTGGGCTCGGATTGAGTCGAACTTTGTGTCGTTGGGATTGTATTTTCGAGACGTTCAGCTCAATTGTAAGTTTGCTGAAATTTGAGTTCAAATAGTCCCTTTAATTTCGGAAGTTTCCAACTTAGTTTTGCCTCGGGATTCGTGCCCAATCATGAAAATTTTTTATGATGTATAAGTAATAAACAAATCAAACAACCAGAGTATTAATAAAGTTTTGTTATATTTTATTAAACTTCTCTTGTCGTGCTTTAATTATTCTAATAATATATGTAAAATCTTTTAACTGCCTTAAATCCTAAATTGAACAACCAAACGGTCACACAGGATTTAACTGGATTTATCATGAATGTTACCAAACAACTTTCAGGATTTAAACCCCCAGGATTTTGTAAATCCGGATTTGAAGGATTTACGAAATCCTATTTAAATGAAATCCTAGATTCTACCAAACAGCCCCTAAGAGTTAAAATCTTAGGTCTTAATCTGTACGGATATTCAGTTCATACATATAGAATATAAGATTTTTTACGTCGAAAATTTTGAAAATAGAAAAATTATGAGGTATGACCCAGTTGAAAATTATTCTACTAAAATTTGAGTAGATTACAATGTGCTGACTAGTATTTGAGGGCGATCAGATTACAAATGCCTACCGCATTGTTGAAATCTAATGACAAACGGGGATGAAAGTCCAGCGTCACTTTGTGAACTGGCAGAAGTCCGGTGCTACGTAAAAATTCGGGCGTCAGTTGGTAGCCTGGCGATGGTTTGGCAGAACTTCAGCGTTGGGCAGTGGTCCGACTGAACTCCGGATGTCAAGTGCTGGTCTGGCAGAACTTCGGGCGTCAGGTGGTGGTCCGGAATAACTTCGAGACTCAGATGGTGGTCCGGCAGAAGTCAAAACCTCAAGCGGTGGTCCGACTGAAGTCCGGGACTCAAGCAGAGGTCCGGCCGAGGTCTAGGTCAGGTAGTAGTCCGGTCAAAGTCCGGGCCTTAGACGGTTGTCTGGTAGAAGTCTGGACCTCAGGTGGTGGTCCGATAGAATTCTGTGCCTTAGGTGGTGGTCTGGCAGAACTCCATGCTCAAATGGTGGTCCAACAGAACTCCAGGTGGTGGTCGAGGAGACAAGGAGGCAAGGGCGATCTCTGATCTCTTTTTTTTATCCTTAGGCTTAAAGTTCCATTTTCGAGGGGGGGTGGTCTATTTATAAATTTCTTATAGTGGAATGGCCTGTAAATAGGAGAAAGATCAAGGGTAAATGAGGAGTGGTTTGAAATGGACGGCCGATATTGAATCTCTTGATCTTGGATTGTTTGCTAGACATTTGAAGGTCTTAATGATGTTGGAATTACATGATCTTGGGCACATTGGATTCGTCTCGTCGAGCCGCTCAATTCGACTATAAGCATGTCACTTTTGGGAACTGATTGGTAATCCAAATTGTGGTTCGAACCTTCTAATAGTGCTTCGGGCCGTTGATTTGGACCCATTTAGGCTCGGATTGAGTCGAATTTGGTGTCGTTGGGATTGTATTTCCCAGACGTTCAGTTCGATTGTAAGTTTGCTGGAATTGGAGTTCAGATGGCCCCTTTAATTTTGAAAGTTTTCAACTTAATTTTGCCTCGGGATTCATACCCAATCAGGAAAATTTTTTATGATGTATAAGTAATAAACAAATCAAACAACCAGCATCGCGCTTTTCTCTGTCCCAAGTCCATTCATTGTGAATATCTCTCTTCTGTATGTCTCTCTCTCACAGGAAAAATTATTCCGTCAGGTTACCTGACGTAGAGCTACATTATGTAGCTTATAATATGTCGCCACGTGCACTTACTCTTTACCATGCGGCCCGACAATCCAACTCGGACCGAATCCGGGATTACTATGTTCGTGTATTGCTCAGTATTGCTAGGTATTACTCGGTATTGCTTGGCAATAACGAAAAATACCACTATGTGAAGACCAATACCGAGTAATACCGACTAATACCTAAAAGAACTCGGTATTGCTCGGTATTGAACTCGGTATTGCTCTTCTCATAATAGTATTTTTCATTTTTGTCGAGCAAAATAGACCAATACCGAGCTACGCAAACTCCTGGGTCTGTTCCGGGTCAGGCCGTTGGGCCGCGCGGTAAAGAGTAAGTGCACGAGACGGCATATTATAGGCTACATGATGTAGCTCTACGTCAGGTAACCTGACGGAATAATTTTTCCTCTTGGAGGCCCAAACCTAAGTAAATGAGCTGCCTTATCCTCTATCAGCTCTGAGAAGAAGAAAAAGAATGAAAGAGGGAAATTTGGAGACCGAGCAGGAATAGAACAAAAGAGGGAATTTGAGCGAGCAGGCATGCGAGCGAGCTGGTTTGGACTCTATTAGAATGGCTACCGACTCGGATTGGATAAGCTAATCATTCAAGATTTTAGGTATATTGTTAATAAAAATATTTAAAAGCATATATCACTTTCTTATATTAAATAATTTTTATTACTTGTTTCTATTTCTCTTTTTTTATCATTTTATTATAATAATTATTCTAACCATAGTAATTTTTTCTCTTTCATAATAAATGATTGAGTTTGTGAGCTAGCTCGAACTCATAAAATAAAGCTTGAGCTCGAACTTGATTATTAATCAAGCTTAAGTCAAGGGTGACTTGAACTCGGCTCGACTGTTTTTCACCGCAAAAGAGATTGATTAATTTTTTAAGGTTGAACAAATTTAATTTTAATATAT